GAAAATTTGGAGATTAAATGACGAGAAGAATTTCGCTTAAAAGCACACTTCAACCTTAACTGATTGGCTAAGTTCTTTGTATCTCAGTCGGTCTAGAGCACGTCGGATCTAACGCCGGTTTCCTCTGCCCAATAGGACGCAAGTTCGAATCCATGCCGATGAGAGAATATTTTGCTTTAATAAGATTTTCGAATATTCAGGCCGGTAAACGAAAATAAATTAATACACTGTTTAATAAATGAACAGACCGTCTAATCAAATACGAATATTCACTAAAAAATAACATTTAAAGGGATATATGGAAGCACAGTGAGTAATGAATAGTGGAATCGAATAGCCGAGGTCGAATTCCAGTCGAGTTCATTAATGTAATGTAATGTTCATTGCACACGCGCTAATAACCTTGGGAAATGTCTTCTCCTCAGCTATGAGTAAATAGCAGGACGGACTGAGCCCTATAAACATGGAGTACAACAACTCTGAATTCAAAATATGTAGACGTTATGGTATAATCTGCACCATTCTTTCTATTCGGCTCTTCTATAATATGGTGTTGGTTCTGTACAAAGCTTCACCATTATAACCAAATGATATGTGCAAGTATTCTGGCTGTTGATTCTGAGAACTGATATGCTTAACACTCAAACAGTGAAAACGACTGAAAATTATATATATATATATATGCACATTTCATTGAATACGACAGATAAGGTGCTTTGATTTAGTTTTTATACAATTTATCATGTGATCTAATCTTTTTTCTTCTATACGGCTGATAAATTATATAAAAACTGTCCAATTGTTCTTTTTATCCGAGCGCTTTCGACTATACATTTAGCCATTTTCAAGGTTATAATATATTAACAGTTAACAAAAAACAGATTGTTGTATGCATGTTTTTATATAATGTTTTCATTTTCAAAACACGGTCAAGATATTGTATGCATGAAAGAAGAATTTCTGCCTAAATGCACAATCATATATGTATATATATATATATATATATATATATATATATATATATATATATATATATATAACGCAGAAAATCTAACATACTTTCAATAAATCCAATACCTTAAACTAAACAAAAAAGATAATCAATGTCCAAAATTAGCAAATAAATGTATAAAATAAAATCTAAATAAATTAATAAACAAATTAACAAACTGCGAATGCGCGCATAAAGTAAATGTAATAATAACAATCAACAACAAATAACAAAGCAATCAATAATAAAGTTAACACGCAACACTATAAAATTGCAACCAAACTACATCCGGATCCACAATTATTTCCACTCTAGAATCATTTCAAACATGACAGTTACTGCCCACTCAATTACCGTTAGGATTACACAATAGGTTTCACTACCCATAATGTATCATTGACCATCATATATAAATAGTCGAGCCTAAACTACACACATGGCTTGAATATTCCGTTCAAGAAAGAAACAGTCCTGTCACTGTTTGGTGTTGTCCCCGGTGTCCGCACACACACAACACAGACACACACACACACACACACACACACACACACAATATATATATATATATATATATATATATATATATATATATGTATACTTTTATATTATTAAAATAGTGCTCAATACAGAGTAGAGCAAATATAATTATTTATTCGAAAATTATAACATAAATATGCTATAAAATCACTACAAAAATAGCCATTTTCTTTCAACATTTTGCTATTTTTAATTTTTAATTTTGCGCATTCGCTGCAATATGAACATTTCAGAGTGTGTGGATGTCACTCTAAGGACAGTTCAGAGAATTTGGAAAGATTTGGATGAGTCTAATGGTGATTACGAATGTACGGCGGATAAGAAAATTTGTTGGTGAGGACCCCAAACTCAACACGGCAGCCTACATCATATGCCTTGAGGAAATAATGCTCCCCTGGGTCAAGTGGGTGGAAAGTGGAAGGCTCTATATCCGGCAACAGGACTCTGCACTATGTCACACAAACAGTAGAACCGAACCACATCACCCCTTACATCTAGCCACCTAACTGCCCAGACTGAAACTCCCTTGATTATTATGTGTAGGGCTCAGTTGAGCGGGAAATCAACAAAACAACTTGCAACACCAAAAATGAACTGAAGTCAAGAATTACGGCAGAATTCACCAAGTTAAGCAAGGAGACCACCCAGAAGAAATGCAGGAATCTCCGAAGTCGTTTAGAGGCAGTAGTTGAAGCCAATGACGATGTTATTGAATAAATTAACTTTTTCGTATTTTAAGATATTTTTGTGTAATTTTGCTAGATATATCTGTTAAAATGAGATGTCAGTGTTATCTTCATTTATACGTAATTTAGACGACAATTTATCCATCGCACCATACACACACACACACACACACACACACACACACACACATATATATATATATACAGATAGATAGATAGATAGATAGATAGATAGATAGATAGATAGATAGATAGATAGATAGATATGAATTGACAACATAGACATAGATAGATCTGAATGGACTACATAGATAGGAATAGACTGTGATATATATATATATTTTTTTATAGATAAGTCAAACATAGGCAGTTATAAGAAGTATTTTAAAAAGCCGACATCGGGCAAAAGATAACTTTACTGCTATTTCTTTCTATTTCTGTCATCGTTTATCCAACCACGATACTGATCCTTCATTCATCTGCGGGAGTTAATCAGTTTGTCAGAGTGGAAGAACCAGTTAATCACAAGTATGGTGTCACTTTCCTTTACATAATAAATGTCCACCAAGAGCCTTTTTGCGAATCGGAAAGAGATGAAAGTTACTACTGGATATGCGTGCTAAATATTTATTGAAGTATGGCGTCGATATCCAATATATATTTTATTAGGCGGTTTTATCTGTAGGTCAGGTCTAGATTATATTTAAACTTATAACGTCTTTCATTGGTCTGCTTCGCTTAGGCTGGTCATTCCTCTGTCTTTCTTTTCTTCACTTCACTCTTAGACTTCAACCTATAAATCAATGTCCCAATCGCTTGTAATTTACTCCACGTATTTGTGATCAGTGAAATATCTTTCATTTTATGTATAGTGTATCCTTTCCCTTATCGGCCAACTGTATCATAGAAGACTCTCAACAGATGCGTGAAACGTGCTGAACATTATATAAAGTGTGGCCGCACATTTGGCCGAGAGACATCTGACCGAAAATGAACTAAAAATAGTAATACTTTAAGTATTTTAGTTAGTAGTATTATAAAGTAGAATAGTACTAATATTTACTACTAAATTTCAAGTGATTAAATTACTAAATCTAAATTTAAAGTTAAAAGTTTTCTTATTTCAATATTTGTATTTTTAAAAATATTTGAGTGTATTTCTGTAAAAAGTAGCACCTAATTATTTAAATTCATATTTAACAGTCAGATAAAAGCTAGTTCATCCTTTTAAGATAATGACCATTAAAAACGAAATTAAAGGATCTTTCATATCGTAAAAGCATAAGAATTTTGCCGTAGTAAAATGTACTTGTTCTCAAAATATTGTGATCTTACAGTAATATTTGAAGTAAAATATAATATACGCATAGTAGATTTTTTTAAAAAAAGCCTGTTAAAAGAAAAAGAAAAAAATTACAAATCAATACAGTAATATAAATATATTGTAGCACATTACGATAAAGAGTGTGACATGCATGTACGTACGCCATTACATTTTCGGCTATATGTTCCTCGGCCAAATATCCGAGTATGATAGAAAGTGTGTTTTTATATAAACATAGGACTGACAACTATAATTAATAATAAAATAGGGCAATTATAATAATATACTGTAGTAATTGTCAATCAAATGGGAGAAGATTTATTCATACAGTTGATCTTCTTTCGCGTAATAAGAGATTAACAAAAGTATTTAACCCTTCAGAGTCAGTCGTGATATTAGTATTCAATATTCAGTTCGATATGTCACTACAATAGTATTATCTCCCTCCCGTTCTAGACAATTACCCGGAACTACTTATCATGAATGAATCAATTCATTTAGGACAATAAGGAGGGTAATTGGATCTTACCACATCTACTCTTTTGAGAATTATTTTCATAAGAAGTTAGATTTATTTTCCTCTTGGGGTTAAGATCAAATACTTCTGTTCGCTGTCTCTTCATAAAAAATCTAGTATTGGGTTGGTGCGTAATTATCAGGCGTTTTTGTAGGCGCGTTTAACAAATCTTAATAAAAATTGCTGTTTTGTTTATTTTTTTAAATAAATATTGTTTAAAAAAATGCACCTACCCAATATTTTTACAGTTCTTCTAATTGTCACAACAATGATTCCTGAAATTTCTGTTGCTATACTTGTTATTATTGTTGTCGTTGTTCTTGCTGTTGTTTTATTAATTCCAACATGACCGCTTTCAAGTCCTCCATTTTTAATTGTTTGACTTCAAAATGACCTTCCAATCTACATTTCAGATGTTTTAATATTCCGTTGTTTCCGGTGTAATTTTTCCCTACGTACAGATTTCACAAGTTGAAAAAAAAAGAACGAATCTTTCTCCACCACAATTATAATAAATAGTGAATCCTACTCATCACCAACTGTTGTAATATTGAGTCTGGCAAGATACAACACTTAACTCGACAGTCAGTTGTGATAGTTGTATTTAATACTGAGCTAGACAAGCCCTTGCAATAATATTATCTTCCTCCTAGACAATTATCCAGAACTACTCATTGATGGAGCAGGCCACTCGTAAGAGTAACTGGCTCTTACCACTACATTTACATTATTAATATTCAGAATATTGTCCTTCTTAAAGAATCAGTAACACAACCATCAGGCTTATCACCATTCTATAAGAGGTCCTCTGCTAAAAAGTCAAAAATTAACAGCTTCAAAATTTTTAGTCTAGTTTTGGAGACAAATGACAAAGAAAGATCTTACGTTGTATATTTCTTCATTCTACCTAAAGTAGAGGTTTCCCATTAAAATAAATTATGATGAATTGTGTGTCATATGAGTGAAAGCTGTTGTAGGAAGTGAAGATTATAAGAAAAAACATGGATAAATAAGGTATACGAAGACAATGAGGGCGATTTGATTCCATGGAAATAGCATGATGTGTCCTAGTAATACAAATCTGAAAAGTTGGTGATAAAAAGAACATGCATATAATAATTGTTTTATATATAAGGACAAAGGGAAGCAATAACAAAGAAACTCAGAATTTTACATCGGGAAATGTTGAAGATATTCGCTACGATTAGATTTAATATTTGCTGTCTGATGTAATCTAGATGCATAACTTAGCCGACCTCATTTATTATTTATTTTTTAATATTCTACATTTTAATTACAATTGTTATTTTTGGAAAGGAGTTATGTTGCGTGAATCTGGGCATAATTTATCGTGAAACGGGTGCCTTTCCAATACACTTTGACCCTTTTAAGTTAAATTGTTTTAGAAATAAAACTGCAATCTTTAGATCAAGTATAAAAAGTCAGTCTTGGTACACACAGTTTAGTATCCTATCCTGTCTAATCATTTTTTTACAATGTTGTTCGAACTATACAATGCCCGGGGGAGTTAGAGGCACTGTTTATGCAGAAGATGTATGAAGAATATAACAGTTAACACTCGAATTGAATATAAAATTATATTGATCGGGGAAGTACCCTCTTGGGAGTCGGTTCCACAACGCAGTGGTTCCTAAGAAGGAGCTGTCCGAGTGCAACATATCTCACCAATGGAATACGAAGCTAATAAAGGTGGTTTGCTAAAATATGCGTGGAATGGCAGGTCCTAGCTTTTAAGATTAGAACTGGTGGAAGTAAGGAATATATTTCCATAGATTAGCGAGGGGTTTGTGATGTTCCATCTGTAAGAAGCGGGGGGGGGGCTGAAGAGTGGAAAACAATTTGTCACCAAGAAGTGCGCGGAAAAAGTAATGGACGCTATAGAGGTTTTAACGTGAAGACTGGGCAGTTCTTGCTAATACAAGACAACAGTACTCAATTTTCAGCCTGATCTGGCTCTTGTAAAAGATGTGGAGATAGCACTAGAAATGTAGATGATATCAGAAGTGTAGGGGTTAACAGGCGAAGTGTAGAGGATAACAAGAGAAGTGTAGAGGATAACAGAAGTGAAGAGCATACCAGAAGTGTAGGGGAAACAGGAGAAATGTAGCGGATAACAAGAGAAGTGTAGGAGATAATAGGAGAAGTGAAGAGGATAACAGGAGTCGTGTGGGTGATAGCAGGAGAAGTGTAGGGAATAACAGGAGAAATGTGAAGGATAACAGAAGTGTAGAGGATAGCAGGAGAAGTGTAGAGGATAGCAGGAGAAGTGTAGAGGATAGCAGGAGAAGTGTAGAGGACAGCAGGCCAAGTGTACAGGATAACAGAAGTGTAGAGGGTAGCAGGAGAAGTGTAGAGGATAGCAGGAGAAGTGTACAGGATAGCAGGAGAAGTGTAGAGACACAGCAGGCCAGGAGTGTACAGGATAGGGTAGCAGAGAAGTAGAGGGATAGCAGGAGAAGTGTAGAGGATAGCAGGAGAAGTGTACAGGATAGCAGGAGAAGTGTACAGGATAACAGAAGTGTAGAGGGTAGCAGGGGAAGTGTAGAGGATAGCAGGAGAAGTGTACAGGATAACAGAAGTGTAGAGGGTAGCAGGAGAGGTGTAGAGGATAGCAGGAGAAGTGTAGAGGATAGCAGGAGAAGTGTAGATGATAGCAGGCTAAGTGTAGTGTATAGCAGAAGTTATGTACTTACTGCAGTGTTGTAGGGAAGGCGGCCAGTTTTTTCAACATCTTTAGCGCTGTGTCGTATGTCCGTGTTCGACTTGACGTCTGCGTCGAATTAATGTCCCAATAGGCTCTCGAGGGAGCATCCATTCTCTGTGAAAAGCTTCTAGTTACCGAACTAAGATGAGTAAAGACACACTAGTCACGTAACGGTGATAATTGTTTTGTAACTTTAGTCTAAAATATCAGCTAATTGGCTAGCAAGTGGCTAAGGCGAATTCTAAAATTAACGCAGATTGAAGGAAAAAGGAATGAAGAACAATAATAAGATGTCTACATATGAAGCTCTTATATAACGAAATATTTTGATTTATTGATTGATTTGTTTTTTACCGTTTATCAACCCTCTGAGTGCTATTTAAATTCAAACAATGTTTTAGAATGCAAGAATTCTTTTGGGGGGTAGTAAATGATAATAATTTAGTAATGCAAGTCTCACTAATTAACCCATAGCTGGAGGGAATAGGTAGATAGATACTTTTTCTAAGAGTGCTTACACATACGGTAATATAAAGAACCCGACAGGAAATTGAACCCGGCTCTCCGATTAACAATTTCGAGCAATTATCCATTACGCTATCCGCACATACAAGCTGACAGAACATGGTACTTCCAAGCGGTCACTCATCTAGGTACTGTACAGGCCTGAAGTTGCTTAACCTCGGTGATCGTACGGGAACCGGATTTTCAACATGATGTCACCCTAAGGCATAACGAAATATGGGTTTTGAAAATCATTTTGTATATTGGAGGAGAAATCTTTAGAAGAAAGGTAGCTCGGACACAGGCTCCGTCTTTTTCTTTTCTTTTTTAAGCCATTCACCCCAAGCAAGGAGGGAGTAACATTAGCACGCAAGGGGTTACAGGGAGTGAGAGCAAGAGTAAAGAGGGCTGTTTAAGGAAAGAGGGGAAGCCACAGCAAGTCTGTGAGAAAGTGACTGTAGACGAGATGCCAGGTCAGGAAGCAACTAAAATAAAATGATTCATTTTCCATGACACCATATTTCAATATTGACAACGACATTTCAGATAAACCGCAATAAGTTGTCATTTCTCTGAATAAAATTCTTGTTGACTTGTTATGAAAACTCTTTTGAAGATCACCTTTGACATGATTCGAATAAAATTTAGTCACTTTAAACTTCCTCAGGTAGTCTTTGTTGTTCTATTTTCTCTTTTATGTTAAATTTAATTACCTGAGACATTTTACTTTTTCTTATTTTTCTTGTCCTAAATTATTATTGGGTTGTTGTTTGTCTTATTACCAGCTCTCGACTTGTCTCTAAAAGTTGCAATCTGTGTCTGCAAAGGTAACCATTTCTAGCCTATTGTCTCCTTTCCTTCATGTGGCCGACCGTCAGTCGATGGACATTCGTTTTACTAATCGAATCATTCAAGGTACGACAGGTTCAAACCGAAAACAGAAAGAAAAATTCATTTCATCTAATTTGTGTGCAACTGTTTTTTGCTTGATTCTTCAGGATTGAATGGGAACTTGATTAGACTATAATTACGCCGTATCAATTGTCCACCCTCACCTGCCGTTATGTTAACACACCACAATTACTTTGGCACGACTGGCGTAGAAGGTACTCACTGACATGTTCTTTTTTTATTTTTATTTTCCGAATTTAAAAAAAAAAGTGTTGCTCATGTTTGAGAATAGAAAAATGAATGTACATCAATTATTCTATTCACAGACAACTTCTGCGGAAGAGAGATTCGCTTACGAAAACAACACGTTTCTCGTAATCAAAGTTATTTACACCAGATAGAGAATTTATATTTTAAGACCTGGAAAAGTACTATTTCTTCATGAAAATTAGATAGGAAACTCTATAAAAACCTGCTGAGATTCACTGAATATTTTTCAGTATCTACTTCCGTTGGCAAACTCCGATTCCAATATTCAATTGCCTTATCTTTCAAAGCGTAATTACCTTCACTCTGTTCTAATAGCATTTAGAGAATTTCGGATTTGTGCAAGACATTAGGGAAAATAGACAAGAGAGAGACAAGTTTCGCCAATTCAACGGTCGTCCTTTCTTTTCAAAGAATCTTCAAGAGATTGTAATCACCAAGACTTAATTTCCCAACTAAGAAGAGAGATCTATCTAGATTCACAACTAAATTATCTCCATACGTCCGTATGCATAGATATATTCTAACTGAATGATGGAATGGAAAAAAAAACAGCGTGATTCTTCCTTCAAAAGGACTTCATCAGACCAAAATAATGTTCTTTCTAATGGAACAATATAATATAATAATTATATAATATGAATATAAAAGTGAACATTGAAATCAACGTCAGGCAACGATTGCGCCTAGCATGAAACAGCCTGTCGCCTCTAAGTGTTGACTTCAATGTTCACGTTTATATGTGTGTATATATATATATATATGTGTGTGTATATATATATATATATATATATATATATATATATATATATATATGTGTGTGTGTGTATATATATATATATACACACACAAATGAGAGGAAGAACAGATGGAATCATAATTCCATTCTTCGTAGCATTTACTTCTAAAAAAAGTGCTCAATACAAAGTAGAGCAATATATTATTATTATTTTTATTATAAAAGATTACAATAAAAACCATGCTGAAATCGCTACACAATAGTGTTTCATGTTTCAATAGTTTGAGCGTACTTCGTCAGGCGATGGTAAGTAACTGGTGATTAAATGATTTTTAAGAAAATATAAAAACAAATTGTTACCACTTTTTCGAAAGTTAATCGTTGAATTTTGTTTCATCATGTCACGATAAACTGGAACATGATTATTTCCTTCGTATCATATATATATATATATATATATATATATATATTCTTTGAAACACACACACACACACACAGACAGACAGAATGAGGAATGGAAGGAGTGAAAATATAAATTTTAAATTTTATAAATTGCATATTGATGCAATTATATATACAGCAAAATCAAAAAGAGTATTTTAACTCACCAGACACTTACTCTGTACCTAAATGGTATAGCATATCAAGCCAAATGATCGTTCTGTGTAGGGTACAGGTTCGACTCCTGTTCGAGGACACACATTTTCTATGAAATTTCTGGAATATCCAAGCCGGTAAATGTGGTTAACACTGCTTATTATAAACAGAGCATTTAGTTAAATGTTTTATCTATAAAAATAGATAAACAATATATATATATATATATATCAAGAAATATAGTCTTAAGGTATGCTATATTTATGAAATAAAGTGCTCAATATCAGAGATAGAGCGTGTAAATATATAAAAGTGAACATAGAAGTCAACACTTAGAGGCGACAGTCTGTTTCATGCTATATGCAATCGTCAGGCCACGATTAGATATAGTATGAAACAGACTCTCGCCTTTAAGTGTTGACTTCTATGTTCACTTTTATATATATATATATATATATATATATATATATATATATATATATATATATATATATATGTTCTCTTTGTTGACCTCCTATAATATGATGGGAGTAAAATGCAATTGAAATTCTTCCATTATTGAAGGTTAGAAATGTATTCTATTATCCATTGCGTGTACGGTGACACCGACGGGCAAAAGCTAAGGCATGTTAGAGTGCTCCAGATTTAGTCTCATTTGCCAGATATAGATTTACTGTTCGAATGATACATCCGTCATTAAAATTGGTTCCTCAAAACGGAAATTAATTGTGAATCAAACTAAGACGCGCGCACACACGCACACACACACACACACACACACACACACACACACACACACACATATATATATATATATATATATATATATATATATATATACCTTTACATGAAGATGCATGCAGTTATGGAGTACATGTAAAGAAAGTAGCAAATCTGAAAAATGCAGGTTAAGAAAAATAAATTTATTTATATATATATATATATATATATATATATATATATATATATATATGTTTTATATCTACATGTAAAACAATAAGTTATATATATATATATATATATATATATATATATATATATATATATATATATATAAAAAATATCAAAACTGATATATCTTGCAACTGTTCAATGCTATCAAACACCTCTTTTGAAAATGGCACTGAAACAAGTGAAGCAGTGTTAATGAGCAAATAATAAGAAAGTTTCATATAAATATATATATATATATATATATATATATATATATATATATATATATATATATATATATATATAAAGATTGTTTTATATAAAAAGTCTTTTTTACATTTTTTGTAGAACTTTAGAAGTTTTGGTTATTTCATTTATTTTTCCTCCACGGTTAACCATCCAATCAGCATTGGGTAAATCTAAGCGTCTTGTGGCAAAAAAACCAGATTGATTTAGAAATTCTTGCGAAATGAAGTAATGTCGAATTTTAATGAAACTTTCAGCTCTTATTCATAAACTAATAATAATTTTAGTAAACCTCTTAAAATATTTCATCACGCGCCTCCCTTCTCCCTCTTTAATTTTATGAAATTTCGTCCAATCCTTTTTTGTAATTCTTAATGTTCATATTTTTATAAGGACAAATTCTTGGAGAATTTAAATCATAATATTTTTTCGTCTAAGAAGACGCTTAGTTACAGAAAATCTCCTTTGAATTGTAAAATATAAAATGCAATAAACGAAGTCATTAGTTAAATAGAAAAAAGAGTTTTAATTGCTTTTATAAATAAAATATATGATAGACATTTCGCTATTAAGAAAAAAATCGATGAATAATGAATTTTTACAAGAATTGTTCACAGATATATTTTTTAAAATTTTAATCTGAATAATTTATAAACTTTTAAAATTTTGTAATGAATTTTAGCTATCAAGTGGTGTTCTGATTAAATAAAATCCATTTTTAGTAATCTTAAAGGGAAAGCATTACTATAAATTCAATGTTCTCATTATTTTTTCAAGAATTTTGATTTTTTGTGTGTGTATATAAACGTGATGAGCGGTGACTTTAGTGTATTTAAAACTTATTGGCAATTTTTTAATATTTCCTTGGCATGCGTCTTCGTAAATAAGTCTACAAAATCTATTTAGTAAAATGTTAAAATATTTCAAATTTTTAATGTTCCCGGCAATTTTAAAATAAATAAATAAAAGGCGTTTATGCGGTATTGATTATGTAAATTTATTTCAATTATCTGCCTTTTACTTAAATTTCATAAACATTAGGCTATAGTACGTCAACACCTCTTGAAAACACCCACCTCTGTGTTATAAAATATTCACCGGAAGTAGCTTTCGGTGTTAAAGGGAGGGAACAATATATCTAGTTATATACGTTTATACACAGCCACGTATATCTATTTACTTAAATGTAAACTTATTCAATAAAATGCATAAGTCTATACAGGCTTATCAACGATTTTCCGGCAACTGATAAAAAGGCAACTCTTTTAATCTGGACAAAATTACGAACAAGCTTTTGAATTTAATGCAATTGCTTGAGGCTCGAATTCACTCTTCTGTAACAATGGTCGACCACAGTAGAATTGTTACTTCACACTAAGACACCTTTCTATTATTAGAAGCTATTCAAATGAGAGATTTCAAATATTTTTCCCTTTTCACAATATACAATTATTTAGGGCGATTACTTCATAATATAAAACACATCCCTCACTTTTTTTGTCTCGTAGAAAATTATATTAATATTAATGAGGACACATGGCAC